CTGTGTATTGAGCTGGTCCCCGAGTCCCTGGTCCCTGAGTGAATCATGATTGATTGATTGGTAACTGCGAACACAGTAGCTTAGCAGCCAGGCCTGTAGTAGTGTCTCCCCTCCCCGCCCCAAGACAAACAGTCAGTCCCACAAGCACCCATGGCACCAATTTTGCATGTCCACAGCTTGAGGGGCAGTTCCCCCCCAAACCCCTGCACCAATCTTGAAACTTAGCAGGCTTTGTGGCCTCAGGAAGAGCTACCACTCCTGCAGTTTTCATGCCGCTATGTTGTAACGCCTAGACATGACATGAGTTTTGCTTTCAAGAATTTGAGGTGCTGTTCCCCCCAAAGCCCTGCACTGATCTTCTGGAAACTTGGCAGGCTTCATACTCTCTGCAGAGTCTACCACCCCTAAAAATTTCATCCAAATCAGATAAAAAACAACAAAATTATAGATATTTTATTGTTTCCCCATTACACCCTATGGCCGGCGGCTCCGAAGCTCTTCAGAAGCTCTGAACTGCTTCGGGAAGCCTAACGAGGCCAGCACTTCGACCCGGATGTGCTGCTTTGGACCCTGAAGCGTCCCAAGCTTCTCCAGATCCGAAGCTCTGTCCGAAGCCTCGCACAGCCCTAGCAGCTAGCTGAGTGAATGCCAGTGTTAGTCACAACTTCCACACAAAACAGGAGGGGGAGCAGTTGTGACTCTTGCCAGCCAGGGGAAAGCTTTTCCATAGAGATTGGGTGAACATTTTTGCATTTTGTGTCCATTCTCTTTTTCATACCCAATCAAGCCCCTTTGAGCTACTTGGAAGGCTCGCCAGAGGCTTCATATGGGGTTTGTTCATTCCCTCTTACACCTTGAGGCGTGAATGAGTTCTGCTGCTAAATAAAATGTGTGAGAGGAGGGATAATGCAGCTTCCTGACCATAGAAAACTTTTCATAAGGGTGACCCAGAAAGGACTCAAGTGGCCAAGCAGTGCTAAAACTGCTCTCCAGGTATCCTGTTAACCAGTGGGGTCTTGCAAAGGAACAATGACTAGCCTGTCCCAAAATGTAAAACCCAACATGCATCAGCCCTATAGTCAGTGAAATGAGGTCAAAAGAGAACTAAAAGGCCCTGTCATATTCATTAAGCCCCTCTTCAATTAAGACAACTGGGTGTTTCAGAAACTACAAATATGCTGTGCTGGCCAAAAGGCAGTCCCAAAGGGGACTGAAGCCAAGCGTTAGTGGTTGGGTTCATTGCAAGAGGAAAAGTTTTTTATGTTGCTTTATTGGCAAATTTTCAGCAACAGAAAGGCTTTGTCTAGACCACCTCCCTGTCTCGGTCCCTAATTCTCCATATTTCAAGCGCTGTAACCCCTCTTTTATATCCTGGCTAGAGCAAACAGAATTATCTTGCTGGTGTGAGTCAGCACTAGGGAGACTTGAAAAGAATCTCCTTGAAGCTGCCTCCTCTGTCAAGAGTGGTCTTCCAGAATTAGTTCCTTGGTTATTCCATTGCTTAATGCCCTCACTTCTGTTATCCCTTCTGGCCACAGCTCTACACAGAGATCCCTGGAGCAGGTTGGTTGAGAACAGAGTAAGGTTGTGCAGCTCCTGCCTGCCTCCATGGTATACTTGGCTCAGGATGTTCAGGCCATGGCTTGTGATCAGCTCAGGTGGTGCCTTTGGACTGCAAACCAGCTTCTTACTGAGTCTTTGTGCTGAGGTTTTAAATGGTTTCCTAGTAACAAGAAGATGCAAAGCCTCTGATGGGAGGGAAGTTCTGACTCTCTGGTGTGTGTGTTACCCAGAACTGAATGCTGAGATGACAGTAATTCTAGTGCACTGTAATTGCACTGATCAGGCACAAATAAACTCAGCCTTCTTTTGTTTTAAAGAGATGTCTTTCCCCTTCTGCCTACTGAAGGAACAACGGACACAGCATTAGCAACCTCTTGGCCCTGTGTCTAGCTGTAAGTGTTTCTAAGGCTCATGTCTCCCTAGTAGCCAGGTGTGGAGAATTAAGGTTGATGCTTTTGAACAAGTTTGTACCTGAATTAGGCATCTACAGTAAGTCGCAGGTTCTCAGCACCTATGAAAATTAGGCCATTTGTTTGAAAAGCCTAATTATGGATTAGACTGTTTTTCAGTAATGGTAAGATTGCATCTCTTGGCCATGCAGGTGGCCCTGGAGCTCCTCCTTTCTACAATCTGATAAATGCTTACAAAGACTTTGGAGGCGGTGGGGGCTAGGAACCTTCCTAGTGTATTGGTGAATCTATGTGTAATGTGGACACTGGTGGCAGGGAGGGGGCATTTCTAGAGAGATTTCAAGAAAAAAAGTATCTGGAGCTTGAAAAGTGCTGGACAGCCCTTTCATATTCCTTCCAGGTGCAGCATGGTCCTGGGGGACCTCACTCTTAAAAAATGCTTTAAGAACAATGGTATTAAGTGATGGATAGGACAGGATGATGTCAGCTTACTGCCATAGGATGCAGCAGAAGGGGAGTTACCCCGGTGAAGGGGGCATGTTCTTTGAGCAACAGGAGGGTATTGGCACTCCCTGTATGTCCTGCAGATGATTTGCAGGCAGCTGCCTTACTTGCTTAGCCTTTCAGGAAGAAGCCAGGGGTCTGTTTAGTATTGAATCATGTCTGTTGTTGGGAACATGTGTCACTGATTGAGCATGGAATGGTCACCAGTTGATGAAATTGACTGAGTCTGGATCATTAAACACATCAATTGCACTAAATTATCTGGAGATTATTTTCTCTGAACACAGGAGCATAGTAAATCAGGAAGGACTGCTCTGCAGTGTTATCTGGGGTTCTGTTAGTAAACAGTAAACTGCATTTAGTTGAACCTACCTGGCTCACTTGACGTCAGGGAGGAGGCTACATGGATGAAGGTGAAGGCCATGTTTGGCTCATAGCCATAGTCACTAATCAGAAATTAGATGTGACTTGTCCATAAATCAGGCAAGATCTGCGCTGTTGGTCTAGACATTTCTAGGACCCTGAAGTTACAAGCTCTGCTCTCGCAGGCTTCCCTTGGTTGAAGGTCATTTTAATGTGATCCTTTTGTATGGGGGTGAGGGACAGCACCCACCTTTTGGTGTTTTGATGAGTTGGTAGCAACTGCAAAACACAGGACTGTTGTAAAGTGGCATTTAGACACCTAGATTCCCACTGATTTCAAGACTTAGGTCCCTTAATTCCATTGTGCATCTGGCTTTTGTCGTCTTCTTGTAGCACAGTGCATTTCTAGGAGCTGAAAACAGAATGGACTGTTCTTAGCTGTTTCTCTGCTGTCCAGTGCACTGGATGTGTTGGGTAAAACACACTCTCTTGCATTGCCTCACTCACCAAGTACATCATAACTCCCCTCTTAGCTTTCAGTGCCATTTGGCAATATAAAAAGCTGCCTCAATATGACTGCTGTGGTCAAGAATCAGCAGCAGGGAAGTGATGGGGAACCTCTGTGTATAGGTAGCAGGGCAGATTAACACTTCTTTTCCTTTCTAGGATTGTCAGTTTAAAATTCATTGAGGCATGTACACACAATCCAGACATCGCGGCACAATGCAGAAGGATAAAAGCCACAAAGTGACATATGTTGCTTTAATATGTAGTTACAGCATGTATCAAACCCACCCACGCCACCTTCCAAATGCTCTCTCTCTCTCACCCTATCCCCAGTCTCATTGGTCTGAGAGCTATTTCAGACAGCAAACCTTATTGATGGTTCTTGAATATTAGCATTGCTAGCCTTGTCCTTTCTAGCATAGTGCCCTTCATAACACTGCTGAAGCCATGGAAATGGCATCTAATGTGTTTGTGTAGTAACCCTGGGAAGTGAAAGCCACACAGATCTTCTCTTCGTTTTGAGTCAGAGCATTTGAGGGGAGTAACACTTCTGCCTCTGTTAAGTTCTGAGGCAAGTTGTGCTTGTTTCTGCTGTGGCACCTTGGCCTGACTCTGACGCCATGTGGATGCAGGTTCTCCTTCATGGCAACAGAAGAACATTAGTCACTGACATGTACAGAGGTACTGTTTATGGCAGGGGTGGGCAATTATTTGGGCTGAAGGGCTACTTAAGGAGTTTTGGTGAGTTCTTGAGGGTTGGGAGCGGGGTGCAACTGATCTTATCCAGCCCACCAGGAGCCTGAGGAGGGTGCCAAGACTGCATAGCTTCAGCACCAATAGGAAGCTGGGTGGTATCGAGGGTGGCAGGGGGGAAGGGAGGGTGCAGATGAGTCTGTGCTGTGCAGCCTGGCCTTGGCTGTGGCAGAGTGAAATGGTGTGGGGTGCAGGCTTCCCTCCTCAGGCTCCTGGAAGTAGCTGGTGGGCCGAATAGGATCAATTGGCAGGCCCAATATGGCCTGTGGGCTGCATTTTGCCCACCCCTAGTTTATGGGCTCAGGCGTATCTGAGTGAAATGCTCTCTTGTGCACACATTTGTTGGAGATTTGTTTAGCTGATGTCCTGTGGAGGCCTCTGCAAACTACCAGGGTTGTGGAAGGGGTTGCAGTGCTAATACCTCATGGAATTATATCCAGATGAGGAGGGGCATGCTTGAAGGATTGATTTATATCTTTATACAGATCCTAGATCTAGGCATAATGCACAAACAGGGCCTAATGTACAGACATTCAGAATTCATGCCAAGGCTCTTTGGGCTTCAGTAAGATTTGGATCAAGCCCATAGCATGGAGGGATTGGTGTGGTTAGTCTAGTCCTGCAGAACTGTGTTCTGGCTTTGTATAGGAATCGCCACCCTTGTAAAGCTTAGTGGTTCACTTTCACAGGATCCGCTTATGGGCTGAATACTTAGGCCAGGCACAGTAGGCACAGGTATGCAAGCATCCTGAATACTACATGCTTATTTTGGACCTTAATTCTGTAGCTAATTAATAGTTGCTATATGGAAGAAGTACAGAGGTAAGCCAGTGACAGAGTGAGGAAAACAGTATATGTACCTGATTGGCCTGAATGCTCTAACACCTCCTCTCCTCACAGATTGACAGAACAGAGACAGCTGTGAATAACCTCAACCCTGCCTTCTCCAAGAAGTTTGTTGTTGACTACCACTTTGAAGAAGTCCAGAAGCTAAAGTTTGCCCTGTTTGACCAGGACAAGTCCAGCATGCAACTGTATGAACATGACTTCCTGGGGGAATTCTCTTGCACCTTGGGCACGGTGAGTCTCTAGTGAGCTGGGTGCCAGCAGCTAATGGGGATTTATGGGTCTTTGTCCAGTGGGACTCCAGAGGCATGCCAGACACATGAGGAACTGGTAAGGCTGACTTTAGTTAAGCTTGTCTGGCACAGAACTTTCCATTAGAAGATTGCATTTTAACGACAGGCTGAAATGGTCCACACGTGGTATCTGCCTTGGTCTGAATTCTTCAGGAAAATTTCAAGAAAAATGCTTCTGCTGTTTCTGAGACTAGGGGGAGAGGCCTTGTTCTGTCCATATGAACAAAAAATTCATGCAGTGGTTCAGATGCCCATTGACTGTAGTAAGGGCTCAAAATTTGGCAGGTGGAGATGCCTGTCCCGTATCTTTGTTCTGTATCTGAGGAATAAAAATGGCTAAACCTGGCCAAGTTTGATAAGCTTTGGAAAAATCTCCATTTACACAAGCTCAGACTTATAAGAATTTGGCAGCTAAATTTTCCTGAGATTTTGTGTACAGTAACTGCTTCAGCTTCTGGATGCAAAGGCTCAGCAGGACATTCCTTTTGGTTGTAGCACGCATCTGTTCTGGTGTGTTGTGGCACCAGAACGGAGGGCAGAGAGGCTTTCCCTCTCCTTTTTTTTTCTCAGGGCTATTATTTTTGTCAACCCAGAGGAAGCCATTAGATTGAAATGCAGAAGAGACAGAAGCATGGTGAGGGATCTGGGGAGGGAGTAGACTAACACAGTGACTTTTTTTTTTAAGGAGCATCACATATTTCTTCATGTGATTATTAATACCCTTGCATAAAGAATACATACAAGAGGTCTGACCTTGAGTTGCCTGTGCCACTATAGTTCTGACCTTTCTTAACTCCTGAGTTTGACTTTGCAACTGCCAACGTTTTCCTTGCACAGATTTTTGGGGTACTGCATACTCAAGGTGTGATTCCCTCCCCCTGCCTAAAAAAGGCTCAGCTTTGGCCTAATTTTGTTTTGTTGAAGTCACTTGACACTAGTGGAACAGAGTTGGGTCAGTGTGTAGAGCTTCTGAAAATCCTACTCTTAGAATCAATTCAGGTACCACTGCAATGCACCTGCCTTTGGTGTGGAGCAGGGCAGTGTGCGGGCCGGGAGCGACCCAAGCCCTTTTCGCGCTGCACGCGGGCTGTGGCCAGCAGCCTGGGCACGCCGGGGCGGAGAGGGAAGGCCTTCGAGCTGGAATTAGGCACGGACGCGTAGCGGTAGTTTAAAAGATTGTTTACTTACACCGAGATGGCAGTGGTGTAGGCTGAAAAGCTTGATTAAGTTGCAGTTACAGACAAACAACACAGACGGTCTCGTGGAGGTTGCTAGGCTCCACGGTGCAGAGCTCCGGATGCTCTGGGTGAACGAGCCACCAAAATAGAAATCGTAAGTACGTCTTATAAAAGTTGCGTTCAAAGACGGGAAGAGGTGGGCGGTGGATCAGGCCGCCACGCTCCTCTGGATCTCACACAGGGTTTCTATTACCCTGCCGTGTACCCAGAGTCCCCACGAGATGGATGTGGAGTCCTCTTTGGCTTGGGCGGAAACTGCTCAAGCCTCTTATACGGCTAACAGGCCAATCGTTAGCCGCCACGTGTGAATAATTTAGCACTAGCCAATCACGGGGAACGAATCTGCATACTGGTGGCGGGAATTCTTTTGCACCGTGCATTCCTCTTGCAACATGAGCAATGCACCCTGCAAAAGAAGCTGCAGAAAAGGCGGGAAACTCGTCCCTGCACCGGGGTTTCCTCTGCTACAGGAAACTCTCCCGTGCAATGCTCTGCAACTTGACGGGGATAATTCTGGTGCCGAAGCGCACACACACAATCATGCCTTTTGGGTCATGACAGGCAGCAGTTCAGTAGCACTTGGGACAACATGTGAAGATGACTTTATCCATTGTAAGTGGAGAGATGAATTTTATAGGCCAGGGATTGGTTATCGACAGCCCTCAGGCTAGGTTCAGCCTACTAAGAGCTTGGATCTGGTCTGCAAAGGTCTGATTTTGGGGCACAGGGAGGGCTCAGATTTAAAGGGGCCATGTTAAGGCAGACACTTGCAGCCTCCTGCTCTTTGCCCTCACCACTGAATTTACCATTTGATGTTGGCGTTCACCATAGCTTTCAGTGGCACCTAGTAAGCGGGGGAGGTGCGGGGGGGCCACAGGGAAGGAAGTGGATTGGAACAGCAGGGGATCAGAGGTGGGGGTTGGGGAGCCCTTTTCTGCAGCCAGGTCACAAGCACCCAGCCCATCACTACATGAGGTTGCTAACCCCTGTTATAGATGGATTGGAATCGAGCTGAATCCTGACTAGGACACTCTGGCTAAGGTTCCTGGTAGGGTGGGGAGGGGTTTGGTTCTAGGAGATCATTTGACAAGTAGGCCCTGTCTTTAAGCTTCATCAAAGAAGTGGCACCTCCAGCAGTGCCCCATAACATGCTGGGGGTAGGCTCCCTTATTGACCGAGTGGAAACAGGGGCTCCCTTTTGAACAGCTAGCACACACCCCACTGAATGCAGGTTTGTGCTGAAGGTCACCCAACCAAACCTGACACCCTGCTGAGGCTGTGAAATATAGTGAAGTCAAAGCATGAGACTGGAATGGCTGCAGCCTGCTGCTGGACTGGTGGCATGAATTGGAGAGAACCCAAATTCAAGTGACCTACTTGTTAAATGAGATCCTGACTTTGACAATGATTCGTTTGTACCTGGGCTGAAAGCTCCTCTGCTGCTTGGTGGCTGATATCCCAGATTCTCATCCATGAATCATGCACAGCCTAAAGGAGGGTGCTGTGTGTGTGTGTGACTGCAGGTGGATCAGCCCATTCTGATCATGCCTGCAATGTCACTCCTTGGAAAAGGACCGGGGCTGGTGAGAAGGCTGGGGAGCCCAACTCTGGTAGGGTATCATACCCCTGACTGTAGCAAAGCCTGCCTGGTCTTTGGCCCCTCAGTCTTTCCAAGTGTCCCCTCTGCTCAGCCCACTGCATATAAAGTTGAACTCCTCTGAGAGCAAATGTCTGTTAACTGACATGTTATTGCTACAGTATTTCTGCACATAGTTTCATAGTAGTTTGGGGTCAGAAGGGACCTAAATAGATCATCTAGTCTAACTCCCCACCACTGGCCGGAGCACACGCTGGGATCACACGACCCCAGACAGTTGTTCCTGCCACCTCTTTTTGAATTTACCCAAGGTAGGAGTGAGGACCACTTCCCTAGGAAGTTGGTTCCAGATCCTAGCCACCCTAACAGTGAAATAGTGCCTCCTAATCTCTAACCTGAACCTATTCTCCAGCAGTTTCTGGCCATTGTTCCTCGTCACTCCAGGTGCTGCTGGGGGGAATAGTGATTCTACAGTTTATCTCCCCGGTCTGTTAGGGGAGGGGCTCTTAATAGTCTGTTCCATAGCAATTTAAAGGGATGGTATGAGTAGAAATCTTGGGTCTGTACAAACCTTCCCTGTCTGGAAGCATCCTCATTTGGTGCTGCCTTTGGGCTTGTTGGGAGGGGAGTGCTGATGGTTTTCCAGAAGGCAGCAGATCAGTGGAGCTGTGGCCCCACCAACTCTTCCTCCCAGGTCAGCACCAGTTAGTGCTTCCACTGGTTACATGGCCATGTGTTTCAGGCCTCTGCATGTTGTCTGTATCACTGACAAGGAGGAGCGGGACCTTTGCCCTGCTCTTGGGGCTGTTTTACAGGAGAAGCCTGACCCCTGCCATCCTGGGGACTCAGGTAGAGACTTTAAGTGGTGCAAGCTGGATTGGGCACCCAGCTGCTCAACTTCTGTAAGCTTGTGGGAACTTTGGAGATTCTGCAAAAGCTTCTTCAAAAGAAGAATTCCTGTAGATAAGGCAACACAAACTACTTAGGGGTTCAGCTAATGGTCTGATTAATTTGTGCCAGTGATGCTCAAGCTTTCCCTTTAATGGATCTCCCTCTCATCTAATCCAAAAGAAAGAGCTGCACCCAACAAGCTGGGAACTCATGCCTGATGTCAACTAACATCTCCCTTGGCCCTGTGCATTCTGCTCTTGGTAGGTGAACACGGAATCAAGCTGCTTCCCAGGATCCCTTGCGCAAGAGTAATTGATCTTCTATGGATTTCACTGTGGACAATGTGTTGTTTAGCAGAAGCACAGAAACACAATCTTACAACACAGCATAATCATAGAGCCAAATTGGAAAGGTAGCATTTTCTTTGGTATAATTAACTGGAGTAGGTGCTGAGAAAGATGAGTTAGCATAAGGTTCAGGCAAGCAGTGGGGTTTTAGCTTGGTTTTGATCGCTGATTTTGTCTCTGTATGGTTTTATTAAATCTGTCCAGTTTTTGAGGCTTGGACAATTGTAACAAGGGAAAGGAAGTCACCGCAAGTACAAATAATTTTGCTCTGAAGAACCACTGGAAGAATGGCTGACTTTTCCCCCTTCTAAGTGTGTGTGTGTGTGTACACCTGTGTGCATGTCAACTCCATCAGATTAGTTGGAGTATTTTTATTGCTCCTTGTTAATTCCCTGCCTGGGTTTAAAGGGAAGGCTGAATCACTCTATGATCCCTAACAACTTTTGTAGCTGTTTGAACTACAGTGATTAGGAGTGATCCAAACTTATGCCTCAGGACAGAGGCAAAGAGCCTGACACAGTCAGAAAGCAATAACTGCTCTCTTGGGCAGCACTGGACAAATATCTAATTCCCTGAGTTGTGGTCTTGTCATTCTGATGTGATAGTTACTGGCTGTTTCTGGAATACAGGCTGCAAACCTTCTGCTCTTGTCCGGGATGCACAATCCTATATACCTTTGCTATGAATGGAACTAGCTGTTGGCTCGAAGAGGTATCTGTTTAAGAAAGGGGGAAGGGAAAAAACATTTTCTCATAAGATCAGATTGGGGAGTACAATGGGGAGTATCCAGATGGATCTGTACCACCACCTCTCTAATACATCTGTAAAATACTTTAGCCTCCCTCCCTTCCAAGGATGGGAACTGGAAGCTTCAAAAAGCACTATAATTAAATGAATCATTGGCAACTTTCTTGTCAGTGGTGCTGGTGTTTGTGTTTATGCTGCATTGGCTGGTGGTGATTTTTGCCTTATGGCAGCTAGGAAAATTGCATTTTGCATAATTAGACCCCAAGCAAGGTGCAGAAGGTGATATGCATTGTTTACTCTTCATTTCTCTTCTTTAAAAGCCTAGAAGGAGCCATTTGGAAATTGTAATAAACTTTTAAAAAGTGGCCCTGAATATTGTGGGAATTGTGTGTGCTCAGTACTTAACAGGATTCGGCATTAGGAAATTAAGGAAATGAATTACTGGTTGACAAGCAAATTGGTAGATAAAGAATAGTGTTGTGCTCTAGGAAGGTGTTTAAACTGGGGGATCAATTAAAAAAAATCTGGCTCTACCCTCAGCTGTTATAAGTCACCGTTGGTCCACTGGCTTCAGTCAGTCACAACCATTCTATCCGCTGAGGATCTGGCCTGTAGTTCAGTCTTGAATACAGTGTGTTTCTCTTGTTCCCAAACTGTTGGGTGGTGTCACTGTTTCTTGTGTACCAGCTGCAGCGTTCTGACAGACAGCTGCATTTTGAGGGTGGCAGAACTTCTTTCCTGTATGTATAGTTTAGGACCTGATCCTGTGAAATGCTGAACCCCCTTGATTTATGTTCCCACTAATGCTTTGCAGTAAATAAAAGAAAAGCCTGTGCTCTAAACAGTTTTAGTGACTGAGGGTTTACTGTAACTGTATACTGGTGATGACAGTGGCAATAACAAAATTCTTGATCTTGGTGTTTTTGAAAGACACAATTATTGTGAATATTTAGCCTGGATTTGCTAACTTAGGCAGCTATCAATTTCTCACAGCCTTGCTTTTGATCATTTACATTTCTGTGTTTTCTGGCTTCCTTAGATTGTCTCCAGCAAGAAGATAACAAGAACTCTGCTTCTGGGAAATGGGAAGCCAGCCGGAAAAGGCATAATAATGGTATGGATACTGACTTATTATATGTATTGGGTGTATGAAGACAGATAATAGACTCAGTGTGGCTGACTTGATATGGTACTGGACTGGGACCCAGGAGAGATGGGTTCTGCTTTTCAGTAACTGATTTCATTTCTCTGTATCCCCATTTTTCCCATCCTATCTTTTGTCTGTTCAGATTGTAGGCTCTTTTACGGCAGGGGGTGCCACCCGTACGGGCAGCCCCTGCCACTCCTTGTTTATATAGCATCTGATGCAGTGGAGCACCAATGTCTGCTCAGCACTAAAATAACAAAATCTAAACCTGTGTCAGTAAAAACTAATATATCAGGTTTTTTTTTAATTACATAAAATGTCTCTCTTCAAATCGCTCTGAAACAGACTGAGGTAAAAGGGCTGATTACTGTGTTGATAATCAGCCTTTCTGTTTGTAGTAATAGGAGAGGACTTACAACTTAGCAACAGGTCTCTTAGCAACAGCTTCTTACTCCTCATGCATAAACCCCTAGGTGGTGGCGTTTCCATTATTGGGTAGGGGTGTGTGTGTGTGTGTGTGTATGTATGTATGTATTTTTTTTTTTCTTTTAATGAAAAGAATGGATTTAGGTCTGGTGTTCTTTTTTTGAATCTGCTAAATATTTGTTTCAGGTTAGCTGTTGGAGTTTCAGCTGAGTGACAGCAATGTAACTGAAGAACTTTCCCTTCCTCCATGTTGCTTAAGAAGGTTAAAAGGAGTACGAGTTAAGAATGGGCTCAAAAGATGTTAGAGTAGGAGTCAGCAGCTTATGGCCCACAGAGCCATTGGATCTGGCCCACAGATGTGGGGGTTTGGTGGTAGGGACATCTCCTGTGCTTTTCCCATTCTGTGGCAAGGAGAAAGGGTAACAGCTGGATCCTAGCACTTGCCTCTTCTTACCTGAGCTGGGTCATTCCAGGCTGCAGCTAGGAAGGATTGCTGACTGTCATATTTGAAGTCACCAAGATTAGCCATTCTCTATGATCTTTACATTGCTGGTGGTCATTGTAAACACTGGTAAAATAGTAATGGTGTTTGTCTTTTAATCACTAATGTTAATCCTCTACCTGCCAAAGCTAGGGAAATGGCAAAATTCAGAAGCAGTACCTTGCGCATCTTCTCAAGCTAAGTGTCTTTTTGCACCTTGTTTGTTACTTTCTTGGGAAGAATTAGACTGAATGAAAGAGTTGTTTGTCAAGCTAAAAAAAAATCATACATTTAAAGAAAAATCCTTACCTGTTGCTAATCCCTTGAATCATTAAAACTGAAAGGATTTGACATGTAAGATTCCCTTTGTGCTATTTAGGTAATTGGACTTCTTTGCATTTAACTTGGGATGGGAATAGACTGCCCAAATTTAACTTTTGCTTATAGTCTAGTTGCCTTTTTGGGTCATCTGAAGCATGCTGTGGTGTTTAAATACATGCTGTTGCGATGTTGGAGTTGTAAATTCAGCATTGGAAACATTTTTTCATTGTAAACAAGGAAATACCAATGTTCTCCTGTTCTTGGCTCTAATAAACATTAGACTTGTACCAAATATCCTTTTAAGATCCAAAATTCCACCCCCCAAGGTCCCTGGAGCTTTTTCCAGAGCAGCTCTTCCCAAGCAATTGCATGCAAGTGTATGGTAAGGAGTGTAATAAAATGCTTGAGGGAGACTTGATTATGTCAAATGCTTGTCCTGTGGGTTTGGATTTTCCCCGCTGTTACTTAAAAATATCCTTGTTGTATTGGCAGGGATTGCACAAGGGTCCTTCCAGCATGATGAAAAGCACAAGCTTCTGCTGCTTTAATTCTGTTAGTTAGTAGCCAGAAGAGTATCAGGCTCCTCTTTGCTGGGCCAGGCATAATAGGAGAGCAGTACCATGCACCAGCATATGAGCAGTAGGGTAGGTGTTTGGTGATGAGGTGTGCTCTTTACCCTAGCATAAAGTGTGTCCAGGTATCTCAGAATAGGATTTTTTTTCATCCATTAGATTCTTTTCAGGGTCCCATGCTTCTGGCTGCTAAAAGGAGTGGGGTGGGCGAGCAGTTGTTGAGAGCAGAGATGTATACATGTACAGCCAGCTGGCTGCTCCCTTTTCTTTAGTTTGTGGAACATTCGGTCTTGTCCCGAGAGCTCTTTCAGCATTGGTCCTGCCAGCCCTCCCATCCTCCGTGCCAAGCCTTTGGAGGCAGAATCTTCATGTTCCTTTCTGCCTGACTAGAGAATCGTGAACTCTCCTTCATTATGCAAATGGGACCCATTTTAATTCACTGTGCCATGGAGGCCTTTCATCTCCCTCCCCAGTCAGCAGCTGGAAAGGAATTATCAGCTGTGGTGGAAGAAATCCTCATCTCAGCCAAGATTCCCTCCTGTGCACAGCTAGTCGCCAATCTAGCAAGCATCTGAAATTGGGATGATTTGGGGATATGGAGTGGGAGGTTGGTGAGGGGCATGCATGTAGAGTGATTATAAAATCTGAGAAGATGATCCACAGGCAGATGGCATCACTCCTAATTCTCTTTGGTACCTAAAATGTTTGAGCAGAATATTTTGAACATGAACCAGTCCTCACACAACCCACTGTATCCCTATTTTACAGATGGGGGCACTGAGGAACACCGAGGTTGAGCCTGTGGTCGATAAAAGGGTCTAAGTGACTCAGGAACACAAATCCCGTGCACTTGCATCCCACCTGAACCATTCTGTCCTCTTAGGAGCACATCAGCATCTTTTGCATACCTGTGCTGTTCTAAGAATTCTTAACTCTGGTACTGAGAGGCAGGTGTTTGTTCCTAAAACATCCCAGATACCCAAATGATTTAGGAATAGTGCATTGTGCATTTATGTAAGGGAGTTGGCAAACAGGAGTTCTGGGTGACCAGACATGATATCACGTAACCTGCTAATGTCAAAGTTGGGCACTTGGCGGGAAGGGGGGGCAGGGAGTGAAATTTGCATGTGGTTGTGCATTGGAGCTTAAATGCTTGTGCAATGCAGCCTTGGTGTCAGTAAAACCCTGTTGAGTCAATGTGCAGGGCAAACGGAGCAAGAAGGAACATAAACACAAGGCTGAAGTAAGATTGGCTCCAACATAATGTCAGATATTCCTGGGAAAATATTTGTCTCTATCCTGTCCCCACAGTCCCTGCCCTTACCACTAAGTCTGGAGCCTTGTAAATGGCTAGACAAAAAGGCTCATTGAAGCAGATCTGGCATGTGACTTGTTTCATAGTAGCTAGGGTCAGGAGGGACCTGAACAGATCATCTAGCCTGACCCCCTGCC